TCCATACTAGGTTCGACACATCCATCGTCCACACTGTAACATCAAACAGATCCACACACAGACCAGGATGACCACACAGAGCCTCCGTCCGACCTTAATACACCTGAACACCACCCGGAAGCTCCTTGAGCCCTACACGCATCATGTTAGCATCAATCACGACAACGAAGACGAGGCAACTCACAAGTATCAGACCCAACATCCTCCCGACTCTGCTGCTGCTTGGTACACTCATTCGCCGCCTGCGGGGTCTGCAGCTTCAAAACAGGACACTGCTCGCTGAAGCAGTTCGTGCCCAACCCATCCATCGCCCTCTGCAGCGCACCGTCTTCCCACCCGAACAAGTAATCCCCATGGGCACCATACCCAGTCTTATCACCAAAGCTGTACACCAGCGGCTGCTTGCCATTCTTGTAGTACTCCGGGTTGGCGAACGGGCCAGAGGTGTCATACATGACTTCGTACATCACCTGCGGGATCCTGACCGGGTGGGAGGCCGGGCAGCGGTCACCGGCGAGGGCTTGGTTCCCGGGCGCGTAGGCGACGTGGCTTTGGTGGTCAGGGCTGTCGACGTTCTTCCCGTCCCAGCAGGAGGGGAAGATGGTCGTGAAGCGGATGCCGCCCGGGCAGGGCTTGTTGGGGAACTCGGCCGTGTCAGACCTGTCACAAGGCGCGCCGCTTCCGCCCACGATGCGGTCGTTCTTGGAGAGGCAACGGTGGCAGTTCACCAGGGGGCCGGTGCCCTTTTGTCTATTGGTCGGATTGCCAGCGATCATCCTGAACCCAGGGGAGAAGACGGTTGTCTTCTTGTTGGACCCGCTGAAGGGGCGCATGTAGTAGACGGTGATGCCGCCCGTCTGGTCCATGAGGGTGCCGTTGAGCTGCCCGTTGGCCATCTGGGGGATTCGCTTGAACGTGCCGTTTTCGGGGGACTGGAAGTAGATGGAGGCGGTCCAGTAGTTGCTGAAATCCTCGACCATGCGGCAGGAGGTGCACTTGGACTGCTTGGGAGGGTCGATGGTCGCTGGGTCCATGGTGATGTTGAATGAGTTGCCGCCGACGATCTGGTGCATGTGAGGAGAGAAGAGCTGGCCGGGGTTGACGATGGGGTCGGCGCGCTCGACGACGAGCTGGGAACAGCTGAAGCGGAGGAAGTCGGAGCCGCGGGCGCTTTGGCGGAGGTCGAGGGTGGCTGCTTCGGCGCCTACGAGGAGCGCAGCGAGCGCGAGGGTGGACCAAGCCATGATTTCTGGCGGTCCAGTGTTTGATGATTTAGAAACCTCGTTGAATGGTAAATCAGTTTGGCTGATAGAACAGACGGGCTCGGATCTCTTGCCGAGAGGTAGAGGTGGGTTTATACCCTTCCCTCCTGTCTCCGTACTGGAGAACTGGGCTTTCAACCATCATCTTGGCAATACATCCCTGGTTAATCTAAACACTATCTGCAGTGCTTGGTCATAGGGGGTTTTGATATCTCGGCACTTGCACAGCGTGGTGCTTTTTACCTGCTGGCCAATCGGTTGATTTCCAGGCGAAACGATCTGGGCGGTCCGGATCACATTCGCACCACTCACAGATGGCTAGGCCCTAGAGGGTCGACAGTATTAATAAATGAAACATATTCTTGGAGTTTAAACCGTTCGGCACAACGAACATAGCGATACCGAGGGACTTGGTGCAGAGGCAACGTGCCCCACAGGGGTTTTGCAAAGGATTCTATGAGTACTAGTGCTGGATAAAATACTTGCCAGAAACTAGGGCAGCAACGTGATTGAAAATGATCAACGTCTCAGCTGATTTCACAGTTTCTGTACAAATGGACGGACTGTTCAATGATAACTTTTGACATTACAATAACCGAATGATACGACCTTGACCTTTCCTCCAAAGAAATAACGCTGTCAATCCATGATAATATCATCCTATGCTCCATCCATTCCCCCTTCAGCTCAACTTCTGCTCCTATTGTTGACAACAATCCCTAGTCTCATATTACTCCTCGTCACCGATTCTGATTCTGCCTTCGGCACCCAACCCATGAGACCACCATCCACCCACATCAACATTTGTCTCGGCCAAAGCGCGGTGGCTGAAGAGCAGCCAGAGACCGAAAACAGGTTTGGCGAGGATGTCGAGGACAGCGTAGATCAGGATCTCGGTATCAACAGTAGTGCGATGAGCACCATCAGCAATTCCCCAAACACTATTAGGTATCATCTGTCAGTACAAAGCCTCGGGGGCGTGTTGGCAGAATGAGACTCACATGGGATAAGCAGTCCACAGCACAAAGGTAAACAACGCCAAAGAGCTAAACAGCTTCGTGACACCCCTCCCCTTGGCAGTCACAGTCCGGGCGCCGTGCAGAGCCACATGCCAGATGACAAAGAGGTACGAGACACAGCCAATGGCATACCATCCCCATCTCTGGGTCGGGGTATTTCCCTGAGAAGCAAACAATCCACTCAGAACCATGATCACATCAGCCACAACAGCCATCAGTGTGTGAGCGCCGTCAATGCCAGCCAACAACGACAGGTCCAGAAGAAGCAGCGGAGTGGTGATGGCCCAGTCGACATATCGTCCCCAAAACACCTGACGGCATTCAGTGTATCCAACGTCGGGCACGTGCTTATGGTGGTCCTTGGCTGGGGAGCAGCTGAAGCTTGTAGCGTGGCCAGAGGCCATGGCAAAATAGCTGAGGGAAGCAGTGATGGTGATCAGGGTGGTGATGACATGGTAGAGACGCTTGGAGATGGGGACGTTCCATGACATGAGGGCGAAGAGGCCCGAAGACAGGACCATGAGGGCGAAGACGACCCATAATGTTCGGTGGCCTGTCTCTCCAATCTCCTGGAACTGTGGGGGTGTTGCTGCAAGGTGTTAGTTTGAGATGGAGTTTCTGCGTGTAGAGGAGTGGGACCTACGGATGACAGTCGGGATGGGACCGGGGCTGCCTGTATGAGTGGGCTTGGCTGCTGCGGCACCGTAGCCGTAAAGCATCTCTGCGACTTGATCGTGGTGGATCATGTTGATGGATTAAAGTAAACAGAGTGTTGGTATCTCAACAACACACCGGGATAAGTGATGAGAAGAAAAGTCCAATTGTTGATGTAGACAACGGCTGATGGTCATAATAAAGCCCAAGAAACACAACCAGGACGCGAAGGTATTCGCCTCCCCCCCCATGGTTTGGTCATCTGGTTGCACCACGCAAGCTCCCGATGTAAGAGCGACGTCATCTACTTTGGTTGTGGTTGGAGTTTCAGGCAACAGGTACCTTGACAGCCCCGCAATGACCTACCTTGCAGGAAAGTATCTTTATGCGGGGAAAGGGTTCAAGATTCACGATTCAACGGCCCGTGGCTGCCCACATGTGCAAAACAACAAGGACATTGGGGGGATTGGAAACCAATGTTTCTGCACGAAATATCCAATGGCAGTGTGAGCCGGGGTGTGCTTCACCGAACAGTTCGGCTGCGTGCCGGGAAGCTTGACTTTGCTGAAGATCAAGCTGTCTTTGGCCGTGTTGAAGCGACAAAGTCCGAGACCTTGGTTTTGGCGGGGTAGTGCCGATCTCCGGACCTAGTGTAGCAGTCATAGGTGGTTTGAACACCTGACAGAATCTTAAGGCGAGCCAAGCTTCCATGATACCGTCAGTGATGCCTTCGAATGGACGAGCAACTTCGAAGTGGTTCAAAAGGTATTTTTGAGCCTCTCGAAAGCCTCTCTGATTGTTTGACGGACGTTATAGATGCCAAGCTTTGGTAGGAGCTCCCAGCTGTTTCGAGATAAATCTGACCAACCACCTCCATTTGATTGGACAGAATGTTGAATGCCTGTTGATCCTGAGATCCACTGACCCCGCAGTGACCCTCTTTGAATTGTCCGATCGTGCTCTGATTGGTTGCTTTGTGCTGGTCTGGGCCCATGGTTCCCCACTACGTCATACCATCCACACATCTTACGCCTTTGAGCTCCATCAAAGCTTCGGAAGAAGCAGTTCACTCCGCCCCACGGGCGGCCTGACTGGCTCAACAATGAACTGAAAGGGGACTGGTCAGTCTCCTATTTACCTTCTGTCATCTGCAACCTCTGTTTCACCCCCAAACAACAACAGCAAGCCACCCAGTAACTAGGTCTACGGTCACATCTCGATTTGAGATTCCCAACACCACTTCAATCTTCCACTTTTATCCACACCCAAGTTATCGATACCCGATAGACCTGCAAACATGTCTTCAACAATGAACTGCCCTGTTGTTGGAACCACCAACACCACTCTGCCCCCCTCGCACCCAGACATCGACCTCAACAAGCCAGGCCAGACCTGCCCCGTCGTCGGTGCCACAACGGACCACCACCACAACCTCCACAAGCACCCTCAAGTCCCCCACCCTGGACTCTCCGCCGAGCACAACTACGATGATGCGAGCGCTTGCCCCGTGCTGACTGGTAAGCTCGTCAACGAGCCCAAGAGCCAGCAGATGGACGATCAGGTCTGCCCTGTTGTAGGGACTGCCACCACGGTTCTCCCTCCCGATCACCCTTCGACGGAGGGCAAGGCGGGTGATGCCATCTGCCCTGTGACCAAGGCGAGGGTTGACCACCACAAGGGGAAGCTGCATGGGCATCCCGACGTGAGCCACGCTAGTTCAGGAGCTGTTTGCCCTGTCGCTGGAGTCAAGGCTTCCTAGACATGTTATGAGGAACCAGGATAAGGGCAGGAACGCATGCGGGGATTAACATGGGAGGCCCCAGGTGTTTTGGATCAAATCCATTCTCGATGCTGTAGTGTATGCCTTTCTAGATAATCAGATGTAACATCTTGCGCGTTGGTGCGGATTGTAATCTTCTTTGTTTAGCTACATGTATCATCCCAGGACGTCTCGATATGAATCAGATAAGGAATCACTTGCCTGCCGTTCCTTGAGTGCCTGATTGACAACCCCTAATGTATGGGTTAGGTTTGTTGCATGCCAAGTCAAAAAAGGCGCCAAAAATGGACGCACCGGGGCTTGAACCCGGGACCTTCACATGGAGCATTGTATCGTTCGAACCCTTTCATCTGTCTTGCAACAGCTTAAGAGCAGCGAAGATTTATTGCAAATGAGACGTCGTACCACTAGACCATACGCCCTGCCTTTTGTTGTTGTTTTTATCTCTGGTCTTGCATCTTTTATCCTGAAGCTCAAATTTCCAGGCCCCGTGCTAGCCTGATAACCCCACGCGCCTTGGCCAAGACATCTCACTCATGACACTGATCACAAGCCAACGCCAGTAATCAGGCCTAGGATCAGGTACAGAAGTTGGCATTTCTATCTTGCGAAGGCCAAACGCTGTCAGGCCCAGCCAGATCCACTGGAGATCATCTGCACGTCACCCGCTCCCGCATGTCCATGCAACCGAGACGCCATCTCGTGGGCATCAAGTATTCGACCATGGAAAATTACATTCCCACCCCAAGCCTCAGGAAGCTGGCCAACAAGCCACTCATAAAACGGCCCGCTCCCCGTTTCAGCCCTTTATCGACAGAAATTCCGGGGTAGACAACGCAGCTGCATGGCGAAATGCGCCAACCTGCGCCGCTGGGATTTCCCTAAACGAAACGTCGGAAGCAGCTCTTGTTGGTTAGATTCCGGGGATCTGATTTGACGGCTTGTCTCTCCCCCAGCGCACGAAAAACAATGAGCGCCGCAGGGCTCACGAGAGCAGCGACCCAAACGGGCGGGTGACCCTAATTTTAGCCCCCGAAACAGGGCCCCGGGCCTGGTTTGAAGTACAATAGCACTGCAGTGCCTGAGGGTTTGAAGATGGGCCAGGACAGATGACCGCTATTGTAAGTTATTTTGTGAGTATTATTGTTCGGCAGTGTGGATCATCCGCGGACGGGTAGCTAAGGTAATAAGACATAAGAGATAGCCCAGGTCAGGGTCGCCGTTGAATATGACCTCGAGGTCTTGACATCCGGCTCAAACTGTACCGCTGCAGTCGACCACGGCCTTCTCTTCTCTTTTCTTTCTTAGCAAGCATTTTTTTTGCTCTGGTGTGCGTTGCGTCTTATCGTGGCTTGTGTTGATGACAGTGCACTGTTGCGTCATCGTCAGCAAATACCGAATCTTTTTGCATTACACAGCATTATCACCACCAGCACCACCACATTTCAGGCATACCATCACCTAGCCAGCTGTCCTCACACTTTCCAACGGCCACGTCGACAAACAAACGCGTTCAAAATGTCTTCCTTCCGATCCCACCGCCTCTCTCTCCCGGACCGCACTCTCCGCAAGCCTCAGAAACTGCGGTCTTCGCCCAAGCTGGACGAAATGGAAGACATCGTGTACGACTCTCCGTCTACTTACACTAAGCCCGCCCATCACGGCTCCCAAACCTCGAGCACTTCCACCCTGGTCCCCTCCGACGGCGGCTCCCTACTCGACCACTTTGACCTCCCCTCCCCGCCCTCCACACCGGTCAAGGCCTCCCACGATCGGTACTCCTCCCTCAACAGCTTCCAGTCCCCAGCTCTCTCACCGGATCTCTTCTCCTCCTCCCTGTCACCACCCTCCTCCCCAAGCCCAAGACGTGACCGCCACAGCCGATCATCCAGCGGGAGTCGTCCCAGATCTCACTCCCGCAGCTCGTCAAGCTCGTCTGTGTCGTCGAGCTCGTCAGGAACAATGATGGAGCTGGATGGGTACAGCGGCGGAGACGGAGGGGTGGTGCCAGTGGTGAGGTCAAGCAGACGGACACCGTATTACCCGCCGAATTCTTCGCGGTCGGTGGACAGGGCGAGGGTGTACATGAACCGGGGGCCGCATTATGTGCCGAACTGGACGCCGATGAGCAGTCTGCCCAGGCATGTGCAGTTGCAGATTGAGGAGAGGATGGTGAAGTTTACTGCTTGATTTCCTTTCTTTTGTCAGTCTCGGTCTATGGGATGGAGTTGGGAGATGGGGGATCATTTTGAGGTATTGGATTGGGGGTTTTGGTGCATTATCTTTTGGGATGGTCTTGGTTGCATCAAGGTTGGGACTGGTTTTTAGATGGGTTGCCGGTCGGCATGGGGTGGAAAAGGGGCGTTTGGGGTTTGGGTACCTAGTTTGGGATTTGATGGGCATAGGGATGGTGCTGCTTGATGGGTTTTTACTTCTGTTGTTCAATTTTGACAGCTTGATTAACTCATGAAATCTCGCTTTATTTCTGCTACACCCAGTACTGGTCTCCTAGGTATTGACTGTTGATGCCCATCCATCCGATACGTGTCAATCGCAACCCAGCTTTCAGCTGAACGTCTACAGCAATCCGACATCCAAACTCCATAGTCATGAATGATTAGACGCAGACTGCTTTCGGTGATGCCATGTCTCGTTACATTTGAAGCTCTGTAATTTCAGCTTTTAATGGCACGGTGCTAGAACGTTGGTCTACAGTGGCACTGCCTGCTTCAGTTATTGACTGCAATACCAACCCTGACTTTATCTTCAAAAACTCAGATCTTTTATGATAAACAATACCAAAGCTCCGCACCTGTGTTCAAAAGGGAATGTTCTCCGTTGGTGGTCCTGACTGCGCCCCAGAAGTATGGCTCGCTGCCAAGTACCACTGGGCCACGAAAGCTGGCCCTCGGTTAGCACATTTGGAATCGATCGGGGAATTTGTAAGCTGTTGGTGCGAGGTTTGGAAGGTGAAACGCGACAGAGAGCTTTTCTTGATAGATACACAAGAGGAATCCCATGTGATGACGTGAGTTGAGGCCGAAAAAGTGTTAAGCGCTTGGATTTACACAGCATGAAGGAATCATTTCACTTTTGGAAGTTCCCTGCGATCAAGAATAATGACAATGATTGGTAACTGAATATTGTGATGATGTATAATACAGATACATCAAATGCCCAGACCAAGTCCCCATGAGACTGTGGGGAACCAGGACGCTGAAATGGTCTTGCGAGAAACATAACGACAGGTGCGAGAATCATGAAAATGCAAGGCGGCTCGGTGTGAGCAGCGGGGCTTGAGAGTTGAAAGACACATTTGACCGGACCTTCATGGTCACTGGCAGAGGAGACGGCATCCCTCTTGCATCCATCGTGGGCGCTGTGAAACCCCAAGGCGCCAGTTGCTTTCCTCTTGTTGGTGGACGGCGGGTTTCGATCTTGACACTGTCTTCGGGAGGCCAGACGATCTTTTGGAATTTGGGTTTTCGGTTTCTTGGTGATAGCTTCCGGAAGACTTGGCGTAGCCACATTGTGTGTGAGGTAAGAGTTGCTACCTAGGTAGTGGGTTGGGAGCAAAAAGGACAGCTTTGGTGATGGCGCAGTGTAAGCCTTGCAGCAGATCCACGCGGTGTGGGCGGTTATAACGCATCTAAATATGACTTGTGAGTTAAGCATACAATGGGTTGTGGTTTGGGTGATGAGCAAGGCCAACAAAGGGACGTTCTTTTTTGGGTGCATTGTCGATTGTTTCAGAGGATTTGCATCTCTTCTGTGGTGAGCTTCATTGATCGGTCCCAACCGTGGAGACCACACCCCTTACCCGTGCGGCGTTGAATCTTTGTGCACCTTGTTGGGGTCCACGTCTTGCTTGTGATCCCATTCTTAGACACCCTCGTTGGGCAGCCCGGCAGGTGCCGAATGGGTGGATCCCTCCGTGCCGCAGAAATTGTGGAGCGGGCCGGGGTTGGCATCGGCCCAGCAAGCCGGGTCCGGGCGCAAGTCACCGTTGCCCTCGACCAAAGTCTGAAACGGGTAGACGAGTGGGCTTCAAACGTCAAGCGGTCTGCTGAACTGACGGGCAAATGTTGGTAATATGACCGATACAGCCCGGAGATAGCTCTTTTCCCCTGTGCAAAGCCCTTTGTACACTCCGAGCTGAGTCCGCCCGGACCGGTCCACCGGGACCGAGACCAAAACAAACTGCGGTACACGTCACTGAGAGAGCCCCGTACTGGACCGTTCAGTCATAGTTTGGCACCTTGGTCCAGATCACGGCCGACCTGTAGTACACCCGGCTTTTCGACACAAATATAAGTGTCTGTACGTACCCACCATCCGAATACTCGTCGATCACTCCCTTCACATTTTGTTTCTGAGTTTATTCGGACCTTCAACGCCGTCGGTAGACCTGACGGACTCGCCTAATATCAGACAGCCCAGCCAAGACTAACTCGCATTTTGAGATCTTCGCTCATCCCTGCCAGAGCCAAGACCGTTGATAGATCGCACTCCACTTTCAACTACAACACCACTCCAGCATTATCATGAACCGCTCACGATATGTACCGCAGCAGTCTGCCTATACCACCAGCCAGTTCCAGCCCTTTGGGCCCGGACCTGTCCCAACTCCAGCCCAGATGCCAGGCATGATCCCGATGGGATACCCACAGCAGCAGATGTTTGGCGGCAGCCCCAATCCAAACGCCATGGGTGGCTCCCCAATACTCCAGCAACAGCAAGCCATGTCTCCAAGTGCTATGTGGGCAGCCAACTTTGCCAACGGGCCTATCATCGAGGATCTTTGTGCGCCTCCACAGATGGGGCTTCCAACTTCACCACACATGAACGGTCTTCCACCTCGGGGTATGCCAATGGGCGCGGCAATCCACCCATCATCCATGCCGCAGGTACAGAATGTGTTTGGCCTCCGCCAACCAGGAACACCACACCCAGGACATGGTTTCGCGCCCATGATGCCGGGGGTGCCAGCTCGCATGGTGGGATCGTATCCTCCCGGTTATGCTGCACAGCCACAGGGACTCGCATGGTCGCATCCCCACCAGCTTCAGCTCCAACAGCAGCTTCAGCAGCAGGCTGCTCAACAGCATGCGCAACAGCAACAGCAGCAACAGCAGCAGCAAAGACAATTTCTGGACCCAACCATGATGCTCGGGAGGCCAAGAATGGAACCCGGGTTTGCTGCAGGGGGTAATGGTGCGGAGCAGATGGGGTCGCCGTCGATGGGGAATTCGCCGGGTGCGCAGCCGTTGACGCCGGTGGAAAGTACGCTGCAGGGGTTCATGTCGCCTGACTCGATCTAGACGGTTATCTCTCAGTGTTGGTCAGATCGCTGCGGACGACGGTGAAGCGTGACAATGATGATAATGACGATTCTACGATCAAACATCGTATTACAGGGGCA